TAATTGATCCTGCTTGACTTGTTGCTCAAAAACACCCACCCCACACACACAAACAAGTAAAAAACCGCAGGTACACTACAAGTTCCTGCTATGTTTATTGCACAAGAGTCTTGAAAAAAAAGGGATTTAAAAGCACATCCACGGAATTCTGTAAGTCTCCTGAGCTCGTGCTTGCAAACCGAGATGCTGATAACAGAGATGAAGCTACAACCTGTCCCTCTTCAGCCTGTGTGGCTGCCTGGAGCACCCCGCTGCACGTCGAGGAGCGGGCTGGTAGTGCTCAGCGAGCGAGGGGCTATTTCTGTGTGTCAGCAAAGCAAACCCACCAACCGACACCCCTAATGCTGCCTCAGACTTGCCAACAGGAGTCACCGAGATGAAGGAAAGCCAAAAGACCGAAGACTGCATTAAGAAGGACTGCCCGGAGGTGCGGCCGCCTCGGGCGGCTGCGGAGGCCGGTGCCGGGCGCAGGTGGAGGCGCCCGGCGGAGGCTCCTGGCGGGGCGGCCGCCGCTCGGTGCCGGCTCCGCCTTGCCACTGCTGCCTCTCGCAATGAAAATGCGGAGACCTAAGGTGAGGTTCCCCTATGCGGGTCCCTAATGGCATCGGGCAGGGGAGGCAAAAGCGGTCCCTGCCGATGCTGCTGGGAGGGGTCTTGTGCCTCTTCACTGCCGCCCTGCAGAAGAGGAGGAGGAGCCGAGCGCCAATCGGGGGCACAGCGGAGCCTTGTCTGAGCCCTGAGAAAGGCGGGGGGAGAGAGGTAACTTTGCCCGCAACCCTGAAGAACTGCGTAGCTTGAAAAAACGGTGAGCTGCGGTGCCCGCTCAACACAGCAAGCCCTGTATCATCTGCGGGGCCTTATGGCAAAGAGGCATCGTGGAGGAGGTGAGCGTGTGTGGAAGAGCTGAAAAGGAAGGACGGCGTTGTCCCTTCTCCAGTCAGCGTGTCCCTGCCCCCCTGCATAGGTACATACACACAAACACATGAACAAACATACACAACACACACGCACACACACAAAGATGCAGCAGCAGCATCGACCATCTGGAAATAAGGAAATCTAAACCTGCTGTTACTCCCCGACCGTTCCCACTTCGGGGACAGAGCCAGCACCTCGCTGCGCCCATCCGTGCCCCACTGAGGAAAGCCATCCGCCAGTAACCCCATACCCATCACCAGTAACACTAAGTCAAATCACTGGGAAGGAAGCGGTGGGGAGGAGCCGGCGGAGCATGAAGGGAGCGGGACTGAGGTGGGAATGGGGGAGAAGATACTGCAGAGGTGGCTGAAAGAAACAGGGCACGCTTTGTCCCTGCTAAATATTCCCACATGCCAGGTACCCATCACTGGAAATGGAAATGCTTTCCTTTTTCTCATCACTTCTTCTGTCAATGAGCCATTTAAAATCTCAGTGCTTGATGTCCCTTTCATTTTGAAAGCTGCCCTTGTTCCGCTTGTCACAACTGCAAGAGGGGAACGGAGGAACAACAGCAACGGCAAAGCTTCATTTTAGCCAGGCAGACAAAAGAGCCGACCTTGGTGCTCTCTGTCTTGGAGTGAAAGCTAAACAGAAGAGAGGGAGAAGTCTTGCGGTCATTTTGCCTGATTTCCTTTCTGATTTCCTTCCACTAACAGATCGCAAGCATTCTTTTTTTTGGTGGAGGGAGGTGCCAAACCGAAGGGGTGCAACTATCAGTGATTCCTCTACTAAATCCCAGAAGGCAAAGCTCACTGATGCTGCCTAATTTTTTCCCCCTCACTTATGCACTCTCCTTCCCTTTCCGTAAGGGAGTTGACAGTGGAGGTTTCCTATCCTTAGTCCTCTAAACTTGTTTTTTATCTCCCGTGTCTCAGTGGTGCTTCTCATTTCTCCCATGGTGGGAGAGTGAGGGAGAAGGGGAAGGAGCTTTGCTGGGTGTCTCACACATCTAAAAGGAAGAGCACAGGATTCATGACCCACTGTAGCAGGCCAGAAATCACTCTGCTTGGCCTTTTCTAAGGTTGGGTTGTGGATTCGTTTGTTTGTTTTAATGCCTTCTGTGCCTTCTCTCAATTTTCAATGGTGCCATTCCTTTGCTTTTTTACTCCATGGATAGTCAAGGAAGATTTTACGGCAGATTGTTCCAGGGCATGATGGAATATTGCGTAAGCAGGATTTTCACTGAAGAAAGTACAGTTCCTTTTTACTTTAGCTCTTAATATCACCCCTTCCTCAGAGATTCTGACAATTTCCTTCCCTCCGTCTTCTCTTACTTTCTTCTCCCTTTTCTAATCCCTTCCAAGTATTGTTGCAAGGTTCCAAAGAGGCACGAATTTATAAATAAATGTGAAGGCGATTTTTTTGTTTCTGTTAATACATCCCAGGAGTGCTTAATTAATCAGATATGAGCATGGTTTCTTAAGCATCCTAAGATAGTTTGACGCTTGTAACACTGGGAGAGCTGTGGATTGAGACTGGAGAAATGGTGACAGGACAATGACAAAAGTAGGAAGGGCCTGAGGGACAGATATCAAGCAAAGCTGTGGAAGTGATCTCGGTGACAGGAATGTCAGCAAGGGTTTGGTGTTATGATGTGGTGCTGTAGACCAGAAGACGTGTTTAAGCAAGAAAGGGTATGGGCTACAGCTTGTGGAGGTGGGGTGTGGTAAAAAGGCCTTGCTAGTCAATGGTAAAGCAGATGTAGAATCTGGGGAGTCATCTTGCTCCCAACATCGGGAAAATGGGCAGGTATTCATTCATTCTTTGCCTCTGCTTTCTGAGGGCACAAGTGTGTGCTGAGACAAAGGGAATGTGAAACGAAGTAAAATGCTTTCATTCATGGGAGTGGGGAAGAGAACTAAATATAAATACCCAGAATAGATGCTGTGCTGCAGTGAGTCTAAGCCAGTTCTATGGAGCTTGGCTGCCTAAAGGAACCCACATCCAGGATGTAAAATCTGACCTACTGGCTCTGCAGTTTCTGGGAGTAGCGCCCCGCTCCGAGGGAAGTCTATGGAAACTGCCCTCGTCAGCACCTGGAAAGCTTAGGCCCTGACAATGGGGAGGAAGAAAAAGGGACAGTTTTGCAAAGCCCGGTTTTTTCCTCTTTTTCTTGGGCTCTTTCTGGTGCTTCATCCCAGCTTTTGCCCTCAGTGCCCAGCTTTTTTCCTTCCCCCACCCCCAAGGGCAAGCGAAGCGGCTCTCAACAGGTGCTGGGGAAGCCGCTCTGCTCCCGCGGCCGCGCCAGCCCGTCCCTCGGTCGGATGCTGCCGCCCCGCGACTCTGGCTCACAAAGCAGCCGCCTCGGAGCGGCGCCGGGGCCCCCGCTCGCCCCCGCACCGCGCCCGCGGGGCGCCGCGGAACGCACGGCGCGCCGGGCCGGCCGCCAGCCCCGGGGCTGACGAACCCTGGCACCCGGCACCGAGAAGGCGCTAATGGCAGGGGGCCGAACCAGGGAAAAGAAATGCCCCCAAAGCGCCCGGTCTGCGCTCATAGCAAAGCATCTCCAGACCGGGGCAAAGCGCTGGGAGCGGCTCCTTTCAACAGATGCAAACAGAGAGAATGTGCCTGTAATTAAAATGTGCATAAACGTCGCAGGTAAGCCCCCCTCCCCTTGGATACCCCGCGTCAGGATAACGTGGGATGAGGTAAAAAGCCCTCGACACCCCCCTCCCCGTGAAACGCGAAATGTCTTTTCCACGCGATGCAAATTGGGGGACAAGCAGCTGCAAAGCTCTACAATAAACTGTTTCATCCAAGCCAGAGCCAGCTCGGGAAGGCACGCCTTTGAATGCCACCCCCCCTCAAAACATCTTCTTCCCACTCGTGCAGGCAACCTCTGTAGGCGATAACCAAGTCTAAAAACTCGGAGAGGATCGATAACGTCTACTAAATATTCTGGGAGTGTATGAGTGTGGCAGGGAGGAGGGGGATAAAAGGGTGATTAATCGGATATTAATCACTGGCCACAAACAAGGGGAGATTATTTCGGGTAGGCAGCCGACTGTTCGGAGTTGCAGAATAGATCCTTTTACTGAAGGCACGCGTGATGGGATCGGCACTCCGCTGTTTAGCGATGCCTGTGTAATTCTGCAGGTGCACATTATTCAAGCCACATATTTCTTCTTTTCTCTGTGTGTAGCATTTGCCTTAACTGTCTGCAAGCACAGACTTAGTGGAGGTATTTATGCCGCTAACTAGACATTTCCTTTTTGCTCTCCTTTCACGAACACAGAGGCAAGAAAAAAGCAAAATAGCCCTTGCCCCAGAAAAAAAAAAAAAAAAAAAAAAGAGAGAGACAAAAAGCCCAATCCAGAACCCCTCACATACATCAGGGAAAAGAGACCAAAGGAGGAGAGAGAAAAGGTGTCGATCTTTGCACCCAGCGAAAGACCATGCCTTCAAGGCTGAACTGCCAACGCACCTTTCCGACAGCCTGGGAGCCCTGCATGCGTACAGACAGCCGAGCGTGAAGCGCATTTCGGGCTGTGAGACGGCTACGCATACGCTGGGCTCCCCCGTAACTTTCCCCACGCAACGGGTTAAACTAATAAGTGCATCGATACAGGCATTCCCGCAAAGAGCCCGCTGCTCGACCGAAAACCAGAATTGTAGGTAATCCCCCCTCCACCCTGCACGATCATCATCGTCACCTTAAAAAAGTCATCCCGTGGGATCTGTTTGAATATACACTAGTTAGAGGCTATATGAACCAACTCACGTCTACCGTTTGAGCATACTGCAAGAATATTTATTGAGCCTCAGCTCAGTCACTGCATTGAACGCCAGCCCTGGCAAGCAAATACATTTTCTATCTCCGAGGAGAGCTCTGAATCAACTCCTTCTTTCCTCCCCGCTTTAGCGATCGTTTATATATTTCCATTGCAAAGTACCCAGGATAAAAATATAAAATAAGAGATAAATATATTTTGAAATACCCCTTGGTGTAAGGCGAGAGCTTGCAACCCCCTGACCGAAAGCAAATGGACCCCTAAAAATATACCCCTCAAATACTACCCTACCTTTCACACACGAAACCATCAATAAAAAGACGAGGTTCCAAAATGTAAATCCACTTTTAATCTCCATTTTCTTCACCAGGATGAAGTCCAGCCGGCCACATTTAGTACATCCCCTTTCCCAAAAGTCTGCTAATTTCGATTCCTTTGCACGAATTTCCCCTCTGCAGATCCCTTTCATATTATTCTTGAGAGCTCTTAATTCCTATTCCTCGGCCAGGCGCAGCAGAGTTGTTGCTGTTGATGGTGCGCGGTCACAGCTCGGAGTGAATGGTGTTTCTGGGATACCACAGCAACCTTGACGAGGACTCAACCATCTCTCCAACGGGGGCACAAAGTCTCAGCTACTCTCGATCGTGTCTTTTCCTTCCCCCACCCCCCCGCTACCCCAACTCCCTGCACAGCCGAAACCCACCACAATCCTGGTTCCTTACAGCATCCACCGGGAGCCACGGGAGAGCACCTCAACGCTCAGACGCCCTCATCAATAAACTCCAAACAGTATTTGCAGTCGAGACTCTCCCCCCACCCCCTCGTTCCCTCAAGAGGATCAGTTCTGCCTAGGAGAGCGGCTCGGGAGATAACGGAGTGGCGGGTGTCCCCCCCCCCTCGCCCGGAGGAGCCTGGGGCGGCCGGGCTCGCCCATCCCGATCGCTGCTGCCTCGTTATTAACCACGCACGTGCGGTGCCCGGGGCTGCCACCGCCGCTCAGCCCCCACCGTCCGGCCCGCCCGCGCCCTCGGGCACACACCCGGGGGGGCGCGGGCTCACGGCTCTGCGCGGGGACGTTAATTACAGGCCGAGCGCCGCGGGCGCGGTGGGGGAGCGGGCACAGCCCGGCTGCCCGTGCGCGCAGCCGAGGGGGCTGTTTGTCCCGGCGGGCGGGGTAAGGGGGTCCGGCACTGGGGCTCCGCGGGCGGGGCGGCGGCTCCCGGCGGGCCGGGCCGGGCCGGGCCGGGCGGGGAGCGGGGGCGGTGCGGCCGCGGCTCCACCAGAAGAGCGATGGCGCCACCTACCGGCCGCGCCGCCGGACCGCGCCGCTCCGCGGGGGCGGGGGCGCCGCTCGGGGGGGGCCCGGCGGGGGGCGCTGAGGGGACCCGGATCGGCGCCCGCGCCGGGGCTGCCCCGCCCTCCCGGGCTGCCCTGCCCTCCCGAACACCGCGCCAGGGCCGCGGGCGCCGGCTTCCCGCAATGAGGAGGGGGCGGGCAGGCACCGGCTGCGGTGCGGGGGCGTGCGGGGGCGCGCACGTGGGCGGCGGTGCGGGGGTGTTGTCCCGCGTGTGCGAGGGCGGTGCTGGTGCGTTTCTGTGCCTGAGGGGATGTGCGCCGTGCCGGGCCCTGTGGTGCGGGTGCATCCGCCAGGGCATCGTCTGTCGGTGCACGAGGGGGAGGTTTCCTGGGGGCGGCAGTGTGTGTTTGGGTGCGCGTGTGCCTGTGAGGGTTTTGTGCTGGCACGTGTGTCTGTGTGAGCGTACGTGTGTGTGTGTGTGTGTGTGTGTGTGTGTGTGTGTGTGTGTGTGTGTGTGTGCTGCCGTGCTGAGCGTGGGTGCACGTGTGCACACGTGTGGTGTGTGATGTGTGATGTGCGTGTGCCTCTGTGTGTGTGCATGTGGTTGTGTGATGCTGTGCATGTGAGGGCAGGTGTGTGCGCACACGTGTTTTGTGTGTGTGTGTGTGTGAGAGAGAGAGAGACAGTGTGCATGGATCCTTTCTGGTGCATCTGTATATACGTATATTTTGTGTGTGTATATATGTTCTTACATGTGTCTGTGCCTCTGTGACATGCTTTTGTCTTGTGTGTGTGTGCAGGGCGGGCATTCACGCAGGCATTCATGGAGGTTTCTGTGTGCATGTGTTTGCATGGATGTGCATATGATCCATGCGTGCACATGTGCCTGTGCGCGAACGCATAAGTATAGTCTGAAGAGCTCGTGGACACAAGTGTATGAGCTGGGAAATTTTGGCAGCCAGTCACAAAGCATGAATCTTTCCAGACGTGTCCACACAGAGGTTTGCATTTCCCTATGTTGAGCAGTGTGTGTGTGGGAATTGTATGTGCGTGAAGTGCAGTTGTGGAAAGATGTGTCCTGGTTGGAAACTGTTTAAAGTTGTGATGTGGATGTGATGTGAGGCTTTCTATGTAGATGTAGGGGCGTATATGAATTTGTACGAACCCATACTTTTATGGTTTATATATACATGCAGTAGTATCACAACAGCATAAGTAATAATATTGAGGAAACATGAAAAAGTAATGATTCATCCTTTACTCCCGAAGCACAGTGCAAAAGAGGAAGTTTGTATAGCTGTAAGTCTGCTCCCATGTGGGTATCAGAATGAGCAGTGTGTGCCCTCCTTCCACCTGTACTTAGAACCATACCCTCTTTTAGTGAGGCCAACAGCAATTCACAGAGTGTGGCTCTGCATATGGCTGGCTGAACTTGTCTCTGTAACTGTAAGACTGCGTGTAGCTGGTGTGAGAAAAGAATAACTGCAAGTGCTGACACTAACCAGCCCCATCGGATCCATACAGGTTTGTTTACTGGGGAGAAGCAGAGGTATATATTTCACAGCCTTGTGTACTGTCTACAGCCTTCTCTTGCAGACACATAAGTCTTGGAGTGTGACTGTTGTAATTGAAACTTGGCGGGCCTGTTCCCTTCCTCTGCAGTGGCACAAGAATGTGTTCACGCAAGTGATGTGAACCTTGTGCTGGTGTTAAAGGCAGTGCCATGTTAGGATCAGCTTTCTGACAAAATTTCGGTGCCTGGTTTAGGTAAAGTGGAATGGGTGGAAATCACTCTGTTCTAAACCTGCCTACTGTATTCATTGATTCTGGTATCTGTCTTGTTACTGTATACATGTATTTACATTTATGCATGTATGAGTGCATGTAACTGGAATCTCTTTTTCAAGAGAAATTCAAAACTGGAGACCTGTGCTTTCAGAACATCATAGATGGCCTCTAGTATTCATCTTGTTTTGTATGTGACTGGAATAAAATTCTGCCTCTATTCCCTCGAGAACACTTTCCAGTTCTGAAACTCAAAATCCCCTTTGGGTAAATACAGTTGTAGAGGATAAGAAATAGATATTGAAGACAGACTTATTATTTCTAATTCATGCGTTGTACTGTTCAGTACTTCAATACCTGACTTATTTAGAGGGCTTATTTTAATGGCATTAGAAGTCATGTCTGTTTGACATCCAGCAAGATTTATGCTGTGTGTTATCTGTATTATTTCTGAAAATGAAATTTTGTCTCATCAGTTAGATGTTAAACGTGAATGAAGAAATGCTTATAGTTAAAAATGGGATGCCCAAGGATTTTTCGTGGTGAAATTCCTGCTAATTTTCAAAGACCGTTAGGTTTCCAAGTAATTTAGATGCATTTTAAAAATAGCACTTCAGCTACTAAAGGAAATGTTAGATTCATTTTAGTAGTATTAATGCTAGGGACTCATTTGAATTCCTTTATAGAACACTCCCCACTCCAATCCTCCACTACTGTAATGTTGCATTTTTCTCGTGATTGATTTGTTGGTAAATAATAGCATCCCATAACTTTCTGAGTGATTCTGGGTTCAAGCTGTAGATTATGCTGTATGCTTCATATTGTGTCCTCTTTCTCCTCCCTCTTACTTTTCCTTTCTGCTTTCCTTCTCTGTCTTCCCTCCTCCTGTCCTTCCTCCCCTTCACTTCTTTCATTCCTCCCCGTCTCTTCTTTCCCTCTTTCCTTCTTGTCCTCCCTTATGCTGTTTTTCTTCCTCTCTTTATGTTTTACTTCCTCTCCCTCATTCTTTTTATTTCTCACCCTCTTTTTTTTCCACTTTGTCCTCTATCCTTTGTCTCTTTCCCCTCTTTTGGCATGGTCAAGCTTATTGATCATTTGGGTATCAGTCAAGGATGAAAGTGACTTGGCAAGGACCATTAAGTCAATCACTATGATTAAATACTCCCAAGAATTTTAAAATGTGCTGAAATCAGAACTAGGGAGATACTTAACTGTCTGACCTGTCAGGCACAGGAACATCAGCACTGCTAGTGGAAGACATGTATCACAGACCTGACAACGATGGTGCTCCTTCATGCTATTATTGTTGGATACTTCATAAGCTGTGATGCCATGGTTATACTATCTGTAAGCTGGCACTCTTGCCTCAGAAACCCCAAGAAATAAACACAACAAAATAGTGCTCTGGAATAATGTGTTACTATTGGTATTCGCATTTTCCCCCTTCACAGTTCCATGTTCACTTTGTGAAGGCAGATCAAATTTAAGTTTGATAATTACATTACAAATTCCTCCTACATTTTCAGGTGCATTTGTTATTCTTCATTCACTGTGATGTACTTTTGCGTAAGGTAGCTGTATTTTGTTAAACAGCTTCTCCATTTAGCTCCCAGGTAACTTCACACTCTAATTGCAGATAGACTGATTTCTTTGCTTAAAGAAATGCAGTGGGGTCTTCTGTGCAAATAGTACTGTCAATAATATGGTACACAATGCTTGCAAGCACAGACAGCTTCTGTAGGCATGTGTAGGCATGTGTAAAGCATATAGGCAGTGATATTTAAAAATGAGTATTTAACTTAGGATAGAAACCTCATTCACTCATATCACATAATTCTTTTGAATGTCCTGAGCTAATGCAGAATATAGAATATTCGTAATTTCCATAACTTAGTCCGTCTGGTTATAAACCCCAGTATGATTATTAGTCCTGATTCTGATCCTGAACTGACTGCTTGTCTATCAGTCAGAACATTCTTCTCTTATGTTGAAAACAGTTGGAGAGTGTTACAGATATACTGCAAACTTCCATTTCCTCACGCTTTTCAACAGGTGTTGGAGCCCCTCAAGGGAGGTTACAAAGAGGAGGACATGACTGTACCACCCCCACTTCAGTCTCTTTACTCAGAGTAGAACAGTTTTCCTGCATGAAACAGATAATGAAATTCAGATAGAAAAGAGTGAGGTGGAAATTATTTGACAAGTATTGGGGTACTAACATGCTATTGTTACTGCAACATATTCACAGTACAGGATACAGCCATGCTATGAATATTAAGTATAATACAACCCAAACAATGGAAAAATGCATTAAAGGAAATACAGGGATGGGAATAGCTGGAGGGGAAAGTGCCATAATACAGACCTCCTGACTAGTTAAGTTTTCATAAATAAGGTTCTATGTTGCCTCTAACACAAAATATCTCTGTTCAAGGAAACTGAATAGCAGCAATATCCAAGAGTACCCACTTTAGTTCAGAATTAAAAATAATAATGAAAAAAGAATGTTTCTTTCAGATGCACTGTTCACAGAGAGACAGAGATCATATGTTTCAGTATCACAATTAGCTGTGATTTTGCTAATTCCCTGGTAAATGTTCCTTGTATTCTGCTAGAGGCCACAGCTGAAATCTGTTTGGAGAAGAGAGAGAGAATGCAATTTTATTTTATGCAACATTTCTTGATTTAGATATTGTACCATATAACACTTAGTTTTCAAGTGGAATTCAAGGAATTAGTTTTGGTCTACTGCTACCAGATTTTGCTTATCTTAGTGACTACATTGATTGTGTTGTAACAGTCATGATCAGTCAAGTTGATCTTGGTGTGTAGTTCTGTGTTTGTCTGAGATTTAGACAACTGGCATTCTCAGCAAAAGCTGTCACCACTGTATTGTTCTTCCATTTCTTGTCATCAGAGTTTGATGATTTGGTCATCCTTATAGGTATGTGAAAAGCGGAAGTGTCTGAGTTCTTTACACAGGCAGAATGACTTTTTACAGTGCAATGACATGCAGTGCAATGTTGGGCAGAATTCATAGCTCGATTCCTGACCTTAGGAATGGAGTGGTGTGTGTTCAGATACCTATTTGAACACTGACT